TTGTCCATATATCAGCAAATTTTTTTTCTGTGTATAGAAAATCCTTTTTTTCCACGCAAATTTACTTAAATCAAAATTCTTTTCATTTAAACCGACTACTGTTGGCCCGGTTTAAGCAAACAACATTCGGTTTAAATGAAGAGAGTTTTGATTTAAATGAATATGTTAATGGTACTCACCTAATAAATATTTGTTAATTTTAAAATATTTTTTTCTCAGTGTAGAGGTGTCTATTCTTTGCATGCATTATACAAAAGGTACGCATAATTCGCGCCCGATTCTAATTTACGGCATTGTCTCTGTTTTCCAGGTGAGTAGGCGATCCAAAGAACATGCGTCACAAGAAAAGGGAAGGGTGAGTCAATTTGAGTTGCTAGAGTTGCTAGAAGTCGTAGAGTCGTATTGTTGCGCGATAACCACCGGGGGTTCGCGGTGAACACGCGAGAACGCGTTAGCGCGTATGAGAACCGCTATCCCCCGGGCGTACGTTCATACACACAGTACTCTCTCCGAGTCGTGTGGCTCGACGGCTTCCACCCACGTGGCGAAATGTCGATACGACAAGTCCGTTTGATTAGCATGCACGTCGCGTTACATCGAACAGGAAGGGCCGTTTAATAACACGATGGAGGACAGGCCTGCATCCGCCACGCACCGGGCCGTCCGGATGCTCGTACGACGGATATTTTTGCGATAGACTCTCCGCGCTCGTGCGACGGGTAGGACGACCACGTCGTCGACACGTTGTTAGCGCGAAAATTGAATATGCACGAGAAGAAACCCACTGTCGATGCTAATGTATACAGGGTGTCCCGCGTAAGACGGACCAAAAGAAAAATATAAGTAGAACACATAAAAGTGAACAAAAATTGGTCATTTTTCAAACAACCACGTAAAATTTCGAGATATTAATTAAAATAGTTGGACAAATTAGAACGCGCAATGCGACAGGCGGGACATACGGCTCGCAGCGGTCGGCGAAGAAAATGGAAGAACGCACACGTATACGGACGCACATACGAAGCTACTCATTTTAGTATGCCAAACGGTCCACCTCTCTACGAGCCGTATGTCCCGCCTGCCGTGTCGCCGCGCTCTGATATGCTCAACTATTTTAATTAATATCTCGAAATTTTATGGGGTTGTTTGAAAAATGGCCTATATAATTTTTGTTCACTTTAATGTGTTCTACTTATATTTTTCTTTTGGTCCGTCTTACGCGGGACACCCTGTATACGCACGTATAACCCGAGCCCGTAAATCTCGTTTTGTTATCGGGGCATGCAGGAAAACAAGAACATTCATAATGGGAAGATATTTTTATTTTTGACATCTAAATCTTCAAATGACATTATATAGCATTAAATAAAAACAAGTTACTTGCATCAATACATTGTACATACATGATTCAACGCGAAGAAAAATGTATTCTTATTATCCAAATATAATTTTCGCGAATGGAAAACACGTAATATTGAATTACGAACATGATATTCTTACACATGCCGGAAAAAGATATCATTATCAAAATAATATTACATTTCTCATGAGACTATTATAATATTCAACTAAAATGAGAACGTTGATTGAAATTCAAGACTTTAAAATTTTTTTAACAAAATTATATGTAGTGCTATAAAATTTATTGCGAAAGAATTTCTTAAAAAGAAAATTTAGTTCCAGGAATGTAATTTAGATCTAGCGCAATATAATCTAAAATAGTTTAAATTACATTCTTGGATCTAAAATTTTTCTCTTATGGAAATTCTTTCGTAATAAATATAATCGTTTGACAGCATTATATGAGCTGTGTTTGGTACTTAAAGCCCTTGTTTTATCGTGCTTGTTGTTTTTTCTTTATCAAAGTTTTTTTTCCTAATTTTCTTTTTCATAAAATTTTATATATCGTTGCTTGTAAACGAAACAATGACTGCCTCTTATTTTAAAATTAACATGTCAAGTAAGGATATTGTCCAAATAAGAATGCCCTTTCTTCTGTCCCATCCGGCGATGGGCGTCGCAGAGAAATCGTCCGTGCCACACTGTGTCCATCCATGTGCGACTTTTTATCTGGGAAGAAGTTTTCGTCAGTCGTGATGTCTTACGGCGTGGGGAAATTAGAGATCGCGCCGTCTTGGAAGTTAACTTCGGGCCGAACGACGCTTTTCAGATTACCGTACTCTAGTATCTAGTATCGGTACTCTAATATCCGATAAAATAATCAGCCGGGATTTTACTCCTCCCGTCCCCACATTGTTTCCGTTACTCGTTGATTACTTTCTTAAACGTCGAGAGCAAGACCGCGCTGGCGTTTCTTCTCGTTGTCGGTAAGCTAGGCGAGGCCACGCTCCTTCTAGTAATCTGATTCCTATTCGCGATACCGTGCGGCAGCAGTGCGAAAAATACTCGCGGAATCCTCTCTCGCGCGGTGCAAAAAGGAAAATTGATCAACGCGATTCGCCGCGCGAGTCGTGTATCCTCTCGTGGCGAGATCGTCCGAATGAAACATATACAGGAGGTATTATGCGGCGAGTGGAAAAAGTGCTGCGCGTTGTTAGCGCAAACACGCTGGAAACGGGGCCAGGTATGCTCGGGGAACGCGATCTCCGCGGCGACGGCATTAAAATTTATCAAGCGAAAGTGCAAAAACGGTGTCCTTAGGGCGCGCGTCGGTACGGTCACGCCTCGCGAAAGCCACGTTGCAGTCGTCATCATCGTCGTCGTCGGCGTTGCGGAGCCTTCATCAATTATATAAGCAAGTAGGTCAGAAAAGTCCACGGTCAATTTCGCCCGGCGAACTTGCCGCGCGCGCGGCCGTGATCGCCGGGGAATGCGCGGCTTTAACGCCGCACTTAGGATTCCGCGAGCGAGTAAACATCGGACGCTAATTGAGTTGATTTCACCGAGTCCTCCGGAGGAAACCGGTCGATCGGATGCGGTGTCTGTCCGCGAGATTTCCGCGAAAGTGTCCATCCAGGCGCGAATGCAAATCCCCGTGTGCATGCATGCGGCACACGAGTTGACTTCGAGACCGGACTTTCCAAGTACGGAAAAATTCAGCATGACTGCGCATCGCCTGGGCCACGGCGAGTGCCTCGGAAAACGTTGCAAGGTCGCGATCGACGAGTCTGCAGAGCGCAGCAGATTCGAGCGACCGTGCTCGAGACACAACTTCGCGCCAATCAAAAAAAATGTTCGATACTTAATGCGCGGGATAAATAAATATCAATTCTAGCCAAGAAAAAGTCATTTTTCTTGGCTAGAATTCCTCGGTAAACTTCACTCACAGTCTTACACTAGTAGAGAAACATAGTAAAATTGGAAAGAATTTACGTAAAAGAATCTATAATATATTCTCTCTATAATCAATGACATTTGAAGTTCAGCATGAACATTGATGAGCGATAACCACGGTCGTCTCATTAAAGATGTCGAAGGCGTCTCGTCAGAGGCCGTTGGTGAGTCGCTTAATATCCACTTCCTTAACTTTCTCCGTCTCTAATTGTCGCGACCGTTGGACAAGGCTACGAGCAAATTTCTTCGATTACGCGCGTTCACACGTGGTGGTCAGAGTGTCTTGATTTCATTTACACTTGACTTTGAGAGACTTTGGCGTAACACTTTCGCGATCGAGCGAATAACGTCGTTCGGTATAACGAGAAAGAAACAAATGGAGAAACGATTTAGTAGCGCGGTGAATGACAGAGTCATGAGAAATACGAATTGTGGCGTCGTCAAATCGCGCGATGACCGTCGCGTCGCCCTGACCCAACTTTCCAACTTGTGAGAGGCGACACGGTTGTTAAAACGCGCTTTCCTCGTTACCGCGCGTACCATCGAGTTAATCGCGCACTCTCGGACATATTCGGATAATGAGACGTGTCGACAGAAGGAGCCAGGGTGAGAGAGGAGAGGGAGGAGGGGATGTAGCGCGCGCGCGTGGACACTCGCTATCGTCGTTCCTTGTGGCGTTATCTTAACATCGTTAATTAACGAGGGCTAATGGCGCCGTGACCTGTGCCGTCGCGCGCACACCTGGAATAGACTAGAAACGGGTCGTTGTACCGGGAATAATTTCGCGACTGTTGGTCCCGCGGATGTAAATTAATTAGCCAGAGCTCCTCCTCGACTCCCCTTACCTCGATCGGGCCGAGGTCGCTTAAGCCGGCAAGTATATTCGTCGTCCTATCGTGCAGCTCGCGAGATACTAACTATCTAACGACACACACACACACGCACAGAGAGAGAGAGAGAGAGAGAGAGAGAGAGAGAGAGAAAGAGAGAGGTAAACGATCGATTAAAAACGAGATATTCCGAGAGACACAGAGAGAATGTATTTCGACGGGATTTGCGGACGCAAATATGTTCGTGGTTTCGTATCGGTCTGTTGCCACTTTAATTGATTGTTTCGATTGACATTTGAGGGGACCTTGTACTATCGAAAATCCTTGTTCAGAATATGTGGATATAGGTGTCCGATTGCTTGTGTACAGAAAGTAAAACGTAAAACGTTAAATTCGTTAAACTTATTTTAGAAAAGAATCCTATATCATTTTGTAAATTACTACAGAATAATTGTCGAGATATTAATGAACAGAAATCATTAGTCAATCGATGTACGCGATATTGTGGGACGAACTCTGTAGATAGTCTGAGCAGACATGTCTTCGACTTATTTTCCTGACTTTTTAGTAACGGTAGATATACGTGATGCGATTATTGAGACTTTTGATGAGAGAGAATCAGTCAGTCGATGATATCGAAGTCATTCCTTCGCATCCAGACTTGACTCCAGGCGACTGGAAAAACTGTTGTTCGCCGGCGTTCCTGGATTTCGATTCGTTCCTGGATCCTGCGATTTTCCCTCACGTTCGCGCTTCGTCCGTCCGACCGAAGTCGCGCTCATCAACGATTTAACGAGCGCGGCGCGTTTTACAGCTATGCCGCATCCGGAATAGCAAACGCGCGCACGCGCTCGCCCGCCCGCTCGTATAAATCCTCCAGTTAGCCGCAAATTCGCGTTGATTGGACGTACGTCTGATGGGATTATGCAGCCTTGACGTTTAATGGAATTTACAAGTTCAAACCAACGACGCGGAGACAGACCGTGCGTGCGACGACTGTCGTTGTCGTCGTCGTCTTCGTCCACGGGTGCACCAGCAGCGGGCCTCCACGTCATCGCTTGTTTATTATCGCGTTGCTGTGCTAGGGCTTCCCGGGCGTGTTGGTCACGTGCGCGATTATTTCCGTGAGGGCAGCCAAGGTCAACAACAGCGACGACGACGACGACGAGGAGTCGTGTTTTCTCTCTTTCTCGCGAGTTCCGCCGATTTTCCCCGGATCTTCGCACGAGAC